AGCCACGAGCTCGGCTCGTGCGAACACGAGCCGAGCTCGTTCGTCAATGGGCCGAGCCGAGCCATTGCCACCACTACTGACCCCCATGCCACACGTAAAATAATCCATTATCAAAGATTCAAAAATACAATAGTTTCGATTTAGTAATTTCACAAAATTAACTAAAAAATCAAAAGGAAATAAAGAACAACTCCCTTATTTTTCTTATTCATTTGACTTGTTGGAGAAGTGGAATCAAACCCCACGATCTTGACTTTATTGCCACTTCACTATTGTATTCGGCCGCAACCACTCATTGGATTAAGATTCACCAATCTTAACTCACACCCAGTAGTCTGATCTTTGAGTATGATTATATCATTCACGTACAGGTGTGTTCTCTTCAAGTACGATTGAAAAACACGTTTTTTTGTTTTGAGATACTTTATTGAAGCATCAGCCAGTCAGAACTCACTGGAGGCAGTCAGAAGACTTCAGAGCTTGATGCTACAGATTCACCAAACATAGACAGATTTTTCTCAAAGCATACATCAATTCCCTAATGATTTTCTTTTCTTATGTGAAAGACCCATCCAAGACACGAATGTGTCTTACCTAAAATATGGAAGTTTTGTACGGTAAGAATAATATAAAATATGTTTGATATGGTCAATAATTAAATTAAGGAAAATTTTAATTTGTTGAAACAATTTCTCCTTCTAATTATTTGACCAATCAAACTAGTTCATAAAGGTAAATATATATTTAAGTCTATGAATAAAATATATTTGATATGGTCAATAATTAAAATAAGGAAAGATTTAATTTGTTGAAACAATTTTTCCTTCTTCTAATTATTTNTCCTTTAATGAATTTCTTTACTTATGTAAAGACCCTTCCAAAGCATGAACGTATCTACATAAAATATGGAAGTTTTTCACAGTAAGAATAATATACAATATGTTTGATATGGTCAATAATTAAATTAAGGAAAGATTTAATTTGTTGAAACAATTTTTCCTTCTTCTAATTATTTGACCAATCAATCTAGTTCATTAAGGTAAATATATATTTCTGTTTATGTATAAAATATATTTGATATGGTCAATAATTAAATTAAGGAAAGTTTTGATTTGTTAAAAAAATTATTTTTTTTCTTTTAATTATTTGACAAATCAAACATATCCAAAATGGTAAATATATGTTCACAGGGGCGGACGCAGAAATTTAAAGTTAGGGGGGGTACAATCGAACTTGCAAAGAAGTTAAGAGAAATTTTACACTCGAAAATTTACATCTAAAAAAATTATATCCCATGTAATTTTGCATCCGAAAATTTACATGAGATATGATTTTTTCGGATGTAAAATTTCGAAATTTTTTGAAAATTTCCTAATAAAATGATGAAAATTACATGGAGAAATTTGTATCTCAAAAATAATAAATGTTAATGAAATAATTGAATTTTTTTTTAAAAAAATGCGAGTTAGACGTCTTTTTAAAGGTTCACGTTTAA